GATGTTTACAAAAAACACCAACAATATTCATCACACTCGTAATTATAGTAAATAACAAAGCAATTTGAACAGGACTTTTCGCAACTGCCACTAATGCTAATTGAAGCTGATGTGTCACGCAATTCATCGACTAAAATTGAGAAAATGTATCACCAATCTCCTCAGATATGAAGTTTGTGATTGCAATAACGAAAGCTCTTGTAATATCTTTATGAATATCACATACAATTAATTTTAAATTTTCATTTGTATTCTTTAGCACCACATTATTTATGTCTTTGTTATGATATGCTAGAAATGGACTCGTTCAAGAAAATTATCCTATTTTTTATTATTAAAAAAAAATCATTTTTTATGTACAAGACTCATCATGCCCTTGAAAAGCTAGTCTTTATTTTAAAAGAAACCTTATTTTTATTCATTTTCCTGCGAATTTATTTCCGACGAAATTTCTGACCAAAATTAATTTTTTTCTAAAAAATGATATACTAAATATTTATAATTAATTATTTCATTAAATTAAGTTAAATAATTTAATAACTTATTATCAAATAAAATTATTTAAATTATGTATTATTAAAGTAAGTTAATTAAATAATAATTAATATTCATTATTAATATAAATAAATTTAAATAGTATAAAATGGCCGGGTTGCAGCAGCTGCGTGGCTTGGTCTATGCGGCGGAATCATTTCGCCAGAAATGTTTCTGACGAAGTATAACTTTTCCGACGCGCGTTTTACCATTGAAAAAAAAAAATCGACTGAAATCCGCTGGAAATACTAATTTCCTACGGATTTTGAGCATTTTTCGACGAATTATGTCCGGTGGTAACACACGATTTTCCTGTAGTGTAGAATTAAAGCGTCTATCTTTCATCTCACATTTACTTTTCGGAAGATGATGACTGCGAGGATGAAATGGCCTATTTGTAAACATGTTTTCCGAACTTCATCTCGAATGTTAGGATTAAAGTTAGTGATAGAAATTCGTAGTCCTAGATAAGATTGATGATTTTCACACTTAATTTCAAATTTTTTGGTAAATCAACATCCACTCGAATGCATTTTTCTATTTTCTCTTCAACCTTATTACTATTTTCATTCATATTATTTGATGTTTTTGAATTTAAAGATTGCTTGAAATATCTCTCCATGATGTTCAAACTTATACTCAAAGAACAAGCTAACGGTGATAGTTTTGACACAAAAGAATTTAAGAATTGGAAAAAGAAAGATAGATTTCATGTTTATATAGGTCAAGTTAACAACACTCATAATATTGCTTGGCATAAATGCGAAGTTTTAATGAATTAGGGTCTTGATATGAGAATTGCTTCTCAAATTCCTTCCGATCAAAACCTCAGAGATTATTAAACATGTTTAATTATCAGTATAGATTGTGTATGCATTCTTTTATATCAAGGTTTAACTTTTTGTGGTCATGATGAATTTAAAAATTCTGAGAACCAAGAAATTTTTTTTGAATTCCTATGATTTATGGCATGCCACAATGAAGATATAAACCAATTTGTTATGGATGATGTCTCTTGAAATAATAAATTCATTGCTCCAAAAACTCAAAAAGAAATAACACATACTGTTGCTATTTTCAACATTTTACATACATTATTTTGCACTAGTTGTTGTGGCAAAAAATCATGTCAAAATTACTTTACTTTTCAATATAATTTCTAATTTCATAAATATTATTAGATGTTCATGTAAGAGAAGAAAAATACTATGGCTACAACAATATAACAAGATCATTGAACAACTACAGCTTGGCGAAGCATCTAGAGATAGAGGTGATTCAGGAAGTTCAATGTATTGGAGATACACGTTGGGGTTCACATAGGGATCATTTATCAATTTAATATTTATGTTTGGATTTATCATTAAGATTTTTAAGATAATAATAAAGATGGTTCAAGGAGTAAGAAGGTAAAGCATAAGCCTTTCTTGAGTCTATATAAAGCTTGGAATTTATTTTCAATTTGCATATGATGAAGACTATGTTGGAGGATACAAATGAGTTATCACAGGTGCTTCAAAAAAGGATCAAGTCATCATAAATATTATGAGTATGATAAAAGTATTTAAGTAAATACTCTAAAATATGAGAGACGATAGTTTGGACATTTTGCTAAAAGATGTTTGTTTATTTTGTGAGGAAAAAATATAATTATTTCAAATATGAATGGTAGTTTTATAATGAGAGGATGATCATGAAAAAAAAACTAAAGTAATCACAAATAGACATCATTATCAAGTTGAACTATTTTATATTGTAATTTATAATATGCAATTTCAAGAGCTCAATGATATATTTGATGATTATTTGATTACCCAATTAATATTTTGAAGCTTCAAAATATGCTCCAATCCCTTGGTTCAAGCCCATTGAACTCAGATTGGGCTGATTTTGGTGTCTTTGGATTTGCCTTATTGAGATGTTCAGTTTGACTATAAGGTTGCATATCAAAGTTTGGATGATTCCAAATTTATTTTTGAAAGTTTTTAGTTTAAATATGCATCGAGATTAATGCCTGATCAAGGTGATTATTGTTGACATATTAATTTTTATTAAATATTTTTATTCTTGTAAACAAATCAGCTTATTTTTTAAATGGCTAAAAGTAATTATTAAGATATATACATATATATAATTTATTTATTTTAAATGAAAACAACCTAATATAATTCAATGTAATCATTAAGGGTGTCTAAAAAGGTCAATGGGTCGGGTTTAGCCCAATCCAGGTCAAAGGGGGATCCGACTTCGTCCGGACGAACCTGGAGCAAAAACTGATATTACAAAAGGGGTCAACCTAAACTCGAACAGATTTTACAAACGGGTCAACGGGTTGAGTCAAGTTTCCCAATCATGATCTGACCCATGCAAGTTGTCGGATTGACCCAACTCGACCTGTAAATTAAACCCTGTTGCAAATGGGTTAAGTTTCCCAAAAATAGTGCTGCAAGGCTTGCCTGGACCCGTATGGGAGGAGCGGGATGCTTGTTCAAGAGATCCTAAGGCTACATATCACAGAGAACCAGTTCCATCCACAGTCAAACGTGCATCGAAACGACAACAATGAAACCCCATTTACAGATTCTGATTGCCTATTGGGCAGATCAGCGCGGCATCGCCGTTGGGAGTTTCACCTTGTTGGCTGGTGGAGACCAACCAGTGTATCTTATTCCTGGTTCTCAAGGCCAATATCCACCACTACATTATAGGCATATTACACGGCAACGCATCCGCCACCGAAAGCTTTCTCAAGGGTCATCCCGGCCGATATCTACCACTACGCCCGATATCAAACGAGTCTTTCTTTTGGGACAAATTGAGTCAAAGTCAGGTTAGCAGATTGATCTGGATCCTGCCCAATTTTTCAAAAGGGTCAACCTGAGCCTAAATTTCTGAGTCAGGTTCAGGTCGGGTTATCGAGTCATGTAAACAATTAACACTCCTAGCCATCATCGTTTTTTGCATTCACGATCTTAAATAATATTCAATAAAAATAAAAAAAAAACTATTTAGGATATCAAATAAATTTTTATAGCATATTAAAATATAAAAAAATAAAATCAAAATTAAGTAATTTCAAACGATTCCTAAATCATGATAACACACATTAATGGAGTATGCTAATCTAATTCTTGTAAAATTATGCTTCAAAATATAGAATGTGATAATTTATTTTATTTAAATAGATAAAATTATATAATTAAAATTCATGAAAAATAGAAGATTATTATTACATTTGTTATAAATTTTACGATAAAAATAAACAACTAAAGAGAATTTTTATTTAATTAACAAAATAGTTATTATAATATGTGGAACATAAATTCTTCTAATACATAAAATAAATTTACATATAAAATACAAATTTATAAAGATATTTATGGGACCTCAGGAGCTCTTTTTGCTGTAAAAGCTGCCATTCAGGTAGCTTATAAAATGAGGTGGTTGAGTTGGTGAGCCTTTTAGTTCAATATACAATGATCATAGGTGTTGTTATAATTTCCTTAGTGCTATTTTTTATCACTCAAATTATTTTTTAGTATTTTGACATAGAATTAAATATTTATCTTTGTTTATTTAATTTTATATAAATTTATTTATATAATAATAAATGTGATCATTAACAGTTGCGACGATCATTGTGATTAGCATGAAAATGATAAGAGTGGTGGCGACAATAGGTTTAGATATTTTACTTTTAAATTAACATGCCTTACTTTAGGGTTGAATTGAGCATTACTTTTTAATTGCTCTCTTTTTTTTTTTAACTCCTTTAGGTGACATTTTGCTTGTTAAGTCATGTTTTTCCTCTAATTTGGTTAACCTTGAGTGAGCAAAGGTGTTTGTTTTGTCTATTTCTTTTTAATATATTTGCCTCTTGGGCATTCAATATTTTCGTAAAGTCCCGTTTGCCTTATTTTGATTGGTTGGCGAGCATGATTGGAAACTCTAAATTCATGTTTGATTTTTCTCTTATGTGGCGCGACCTCTTAAGTGAGAAGAAAATAACTGTGGAACCTACACCAGTCAAACTTGTTGCAGATAGGCTCATCAAAAATTTAATTACGCGGCCAAAATTCCCTTATAGAATAACAGCGGAAAAAAAAGCATTCCCATAAAGAAAAGCTAAAAGGATCCTGACGGGCCGGCCCAAGGAGCGGAGAGAGGCTGCGCCTCCGAGGATGAGATGATGAGCATATAGCACCCTGCAGGCATCCCATCCAACCAGATACTGCAACGTCCACCGCTCAGATACATTCCTTCGCGATTAAGCTAAACGCCGAAAACGCTGAGGTCAGGTCATACCCATTAGTAACTCAAAAAACACCCACCCGTTCACCCTTAGTGCACCCCTGACTCATCCGGGGACAACTCCAACCCTCATAAATCGCCACGTCATCCAATTCTCCCAACAGTGGGCTCCACACGCTCCTTACAATTCTCTTTAAATACCGCTCCCCTCCTCCTCCTTTATTCCCTTTTCTTCCTCTGCTCTCTCTAGCTTCCTAAGTTTCTTAAAATTGTTTCGATTTGTGCCCTTTTTATTCCCATAATTATATTAGACCCCCCTGACCCAGACCGGTCGAACCGATGGAATTCCTTGCAGCCCTCGAGGGATGGGAGCCTCGGCCGGCTGTCAAGCCGGAACCATCCGGCCCGGCCAAGACGCCCGAAGAGGAGCGGCGGTTAAGGAGGATGATATCGAACCGTTTGTCCGCTCGACGGTCGAGGATGCGGAAACAGCGACACCTCGACAACCTCCAGAGTCATCTGAACCGGCTGAAATCAGAAAACCAGGATTTAACGAACCGCCTCGGTGCCTTGGTTCACTACTCCCTTCTCCTGAGGGGTGAAAACGACCGGCTTTTGTCCGAGTGGACCGTTCTGTATAACCGGCTCACCGAAATCGAACATGTCATCCGTTTCCGACAGTTTCAGCGGCTGAGTTCGCTGACGACCGCCGCCATCTGCGGTGGTTTCGGATCAAGCGCCACCGTTGGAGAACCCAATATCTCGTCGTTAATCGTATAAAGAACAAGCTAATCGCCAACTTAAACCCAAAAAGCCCTCTCCTATAAATTTATGAAAGAGGAGGACGTAAATGATAGCTCGTATCTGAGACAAAAAGCCTCGTCGTTAAGATCTTTTATGTTTTTTTGAGAAATAGGGTTGTTATGTAAAAAGAGAATAGTAAGGTAGTTTTTAGTAAGTTTGAAAATGCAAGACGGTGACGTTTGGTTTCTTATTATAATATCACAAATTTGTCAATGACTACGGACAAAACAATCCAATATTGTGTTAATTGTGATTAAGAAAAATAATCAATAATTAACTAAATTGACACATGGCTAATAAGAACAAAATCGAACTAATGACCGATCATTACGTGATGCCAATTATGGAACAGTTGGTGGTGATTGATGACAATCATATTCCCAAAAGCATATTTTTATTAATTAAAGAAAAAAAAAACAAGCGAAATATTATGTTGCCCTCTCTCTAAAGTTTAAAAATTATTTTGATGTGATTTCATTAAAATAAAGATAGTAAATGAGAGAGAAAGTTTAATAACATTATTAAAATATTAATATAGTAAAAAAAAAAATTTGGGATAGTTAATTAGGGGATTTGAGTCTGGACAAGATGAGAGGAATTTCTTATGTCGGCCACTCCACAGCAGGCCTGATCTCCAATAAACTAATATGACATATATTCAATTATGATTTGAATATCTAAAGAAAAATTGGGTCAAAATATATTTTGATCTGTTTTTTAATAAAAAATGAGTTTTATTTAATGAATTATTTATATATTATATTTCTTTTGTAATAAATTAAATAAAAACATAATTGATTATTAAATTTATGAAAATTTATGTATGCTCTTAAGATTTTATTTGTGATAATTTTTTAAATAATTTTTAAATAATTTTTTAGTATAAAAATTTTTAATTCAAAAAATTTATAAATTAAAAAATTACTTTAAAAAACAGTAATAAAAAGTAAATAAAAATAGAAAAAGAACACTCCGGTTCCAGCAGCAGCCATTCTTTCCACGTTTCAGCGTTGAAATCGGGCTAAAGATTCCTTTGGAAATAGGAGAACAAAGCTGATGCTTTTATTTGATGTTACTGATTTTTTTTTAATTATGTCAGAATATTCTCATCATATTTTTTATTAGGATTATTTTAAATGGTTTTAAATGTCAGAGTATAATATAAATTATTTATATATTATATAAGGCTTCAAAATTAATTCTTATGATATTTTTATTCAATTTTTTCATTTTTTCTTGGAAAAATTAGAATTACACTACTCTTAATGCTAAATAATATGTTGATGTAATAATACTCATATATAAATAATAGAAGTAATAAAAAAATTTATTAGGGAAGTATCATATATAATATATATAATTTTGAAATGCGAACAACTATCAATATTATAAATTAAATCATCAAAAAATTGGTATTATAGTTAAGTTGAACTAAGCTTTTCGAACTAGACAACTCCAATGACATCAAAAGTGATCCAATTCGAATTCATATGAGTCTTGATCAAGCCCTTGAAGTGTATCTAAAAATTTCATGATATTGATTGAATGACAAAATTATATTTTAATATTATCATTTGTAATCAAATTGAGTATCTCAATGAGACAACTCAAACAAGCTTTTGGTCACTCAATTTTGACTTTCGAGGTAATTAAGGCAAACAAATGTTGAAATAATGATCAAGGTTCAAGGTTATTAATATGGATCATCCAATAGAGTAGAGGTTGTTCGATTTAGTGTTTATAGATTTCTACTAAATCTATCACAATGATACTCTAAAAAAATATAAATAGACTCACATTCTTCATAAAAAAGAGGTTGGAGATAGCTCAACCATCGGACGATCATCGTCATACCACTACTTTCAGACCACTATTCTCATATTACGACTACCGACCACCGCTACTTAACCACTATAATCAGACCACTGTCATAAGCTGCTATTGTTCAACCACCACCATCACCCATTCCAGCATAACCATCACTACTGAACCACCACAATTCGATCATAATTATCCTCATCTAACTACTATTGTTCGATCATTTTCTTGTCTTTCTTCAATAATAAAATTATATTAAGATGTAGAGAATTATTTTAAAGGCATCATGTACCAATTTGTATTTTTATTCATCAACTTTTAACAATAAGGCATGTGAGATAAATAAATATGATTTTCTTTGTTATTTTTTTAGAGATAAAGTCATCTTTATCTTGAGAGAGTAGTGGACACTAAAGATCATAAAACTATTAAAGAAAGTCAGATCATTCTTTCTTCAGAGATAGAGATAATACAATCTAAAGGTAGTATTAAAACACACATAAACTTGAAGGAGAGCATTTAAGATGGTAAGACTGGTCCTCCCCAGAGGTGGAAATGACATGGTTTGATGATAGTAATATATGACATGCACCATACAAAGGTCATAGAGATAACTAAAGAAGATCATATTAGTCCTCTTGTAGAGGTGGAGATGACAGAAGTTGAAGGTGGAAATAAAAATAAAAAAGTGTGGCAGTCAAGAAAACCATTAAAGATAACTAAATTAGTCCTTATATATGTAGAGGTGAAGATGACAATATATAAAGGCGGTGATGAGAATTTTGTAATAGAAGTGTCATAAAATAGTTTACTAAATAAAGGACAGAATAACTAAAATAATTATATAGTTTCCTCTTTTGGTACCAAGTATGTCACTTGATATGCATATGAGACCTTAAAATATATAGTATTAGATACAAGTCCTAGAAAGATAAAATATCTAAGATGATAATAAAATGACTCCTTTGATGTAAAATTAATAACATATTCAGCCACTTCAGATGGCTTGTTTTGATAACTTATCTTAGAAGAAAGAGAGGTATGCTATATATCAAGAAAATTAAACAAAATTTGATAAAGTAAACCCTAAGTAACATGCACCTAAACTTTAAAACATGCACCTCTTGAATCCACTTTATACTCATATAAGATACTCTCTTCTTTTCCTTTTGTAAAGCAAGATTAAGTTCTTCCATAGAAATATATTTATTTTTATCACAAGAAAATAAAGAAAAGAAAAATAGATGGCTATCACATACATATTTGACAATTAAATGGTTGGTGATAGTGTATTATATATAATAAGCCATGCAACATGGCATAATAGCAACTCTCTCTCCAAATGAGTCTAAGCATGCACTAATTATTTGAGGCACTTGATATGGGGCAAAATTGAGTGATATTTTATTCGAGCATAGTACAAAGGTGATGATCTGTCAAGTATATCTTTTAATTTTATATTACATTATTGTTTAATGGCTTTTTCTTAGGGCTTTGAAATATAAAAACTTTGGGATTATCAAACTTTAGTGGTCGGAACTCATCTTTCACTCTACATTGAATACTTAAATATAAAGTTCTTCTTAATGTGATGACATTTCAGAGTATTAAGTTCAATTTCATATTTAGTTAGTTAAAAATGTTCTATAGACTAAGTAATTAGCCCTGATATATCATAAAAATTTAATCATGATCGAGCACGAATCTTGAAGCAAAAGTGAGTTGAAAGCTTCCAAAATTAAATCTGGGACCGTCCAAGCTCCAATTTCAGAAAACTTAAAGTCAGATTGAACGTCTTGAAAACATGAACCCAACGACACCAAAATCAACCCAATCCGAGCCCAAATGAATCCAAATCAAAGTCTCGAAGCACTTTTGTAAGGATCTAACCACAATTTGGATTACTAAAAGGTATGCAATCATGACATGCTTGTAATCGGATCGAGCGGCTAGACGAGACAAATCCAACAAGCCCAAGATCATCAAATTTTTATATCATTAAGACAATCGAAGGTCCATTGAACAGTACATGATCGTAGGAATCAAGATCGGTCGTCCATTCTAACCACTCCCATCTTGACCTTGATCCTTCTCATATTTACAAGTCACGCTACTCTAAAAAAACTATAAATAGGTCTCCATTCTTCACATGAAGGGGGATAAATGAGAAAAAAAAAGAAAGAAGAGCTCTCAGGCTGAAGCACCACCCCGTCACCAACGCCAACGAACTTTAGACCACTGCCGGACTTCCGCCCATTCGACGACCACGGCTGGACTTCTGCTAGTCCGCCGACCACCGTCGGACTTCTGCCAGTCCACCGACCATTACCAAACTTTTGCTCATTCGTCGACCACCACCGGAGTTCTTTCTGATCGTCATCGGAATTTGATCATCATCGGAATTCCACCCGTTCGTCAATCACCCACGGTCCTCCCGACCTCCATCTCCCTCCGACTATGGTCCTCCCTACCTCCGTCCCCTGCCAACTATGGTCCTTTTGATCGCCATCTCCAATTACGATCCTCCCGACCTCCATCGCCACCCGACCACGGTCCTTCTGTCCACCATTGCCAATTACAAACCCCTATCGCCCGTCGACTACGATCCTTCTGAACTCCGTCGCCGGCTGACTATGGTCCATCCAACCACCGTTGCTTGTTGATTACGGTCATTCTGACAATTGTCGCCCAACTACAGTCCTTCTAATGACTATCGTCAACTACGGTCCTTCAGACCATTGTGGCCTGCCGATTATAATCCTTTCACCGACTACGGTCCTTCCCAGCACCGTCGCCTGAATACAATATTTTCAACCTCAGTCGCCTAATTACGATTATTCCAACCACCGTCATCCGATTACAGTCATTCCGGTCTACATCGCTCGTCGACTATGATCCTGTTGCCCAAACGAATATATCAACACTGATTCTTTCAACTCCTACCATATAATGCACTCTATATGATGTATATTTGCTACTTCGAGCCATGACCTTTCTCATAAGGAAGAGTCTCATTCGTAATCAATTGCAAACATTAGTGGATTCATTCAAATTGGGCCAGGGCCCATGGTTTCCCCCCTTTTCAAGGGTTTCCACATAAATTTATGGTGTCTTTTATAAACGCTATAACAATAGTCTTTATCTATTTGTGTGCTGGATCTTCGTACAAAGTTAAGATGCTAAACTATATCACTCTCTACTGCCGTGAATTTTCCAGGATGCAACAAGCCCTAATGCAATTTTTTTTATTTTGTTACATGCCAAAAGTTGTGTCGATAAAGTGCAACATTTTAATCATACTAGCTATGAACAATGGTCCGCACAGAAAAAAGTAGAATACAATGAGTGTGGAGCATATGATTAATTTTTTTTTATATAAAAAACACCAAACATAAAAAAGTTATTGGGACCAACTCATGCTTAGTTTGAGACAACTTTTTTATTGTTTCTTAAAATAGAATTTTAGTATAAAAATTTTAATATTAGCATTAAATATTTGTTTTTAAAAATAATAAAAAAGTCATCTCAAACGAAACCTCAATTAGAGCAACATATCCTAGTAGTGGTCATGACTTATAATAATGTGCTTTGCATCAAATGTCATGCTTAATTAGATATAACTTTCAAAAGCCCAATATAATTAATTATGCATTTAATCACAATTATATCTTATTCAACTTTAATCTAATGAGTAAAAATAAATACGACTCCCATTTTAAATAAGAGAGAGCCTTTTAAGGTGCCCCCTAATCACCATATAAAAGCAGATAGAAGTTTTGCATTCTTGGGTTTCGTTTGGGACGGCTTTTTTATTGCTTCTTAAAGCAACTTCCTAGTACAAAAAAAATTAATTTTTGTACTAAAAAGCTGCTTTAAGAAGCAATAAGAAAACCAGCCAAACGAAACCTTGATCTTGTTATTAAAAGTTTGTGTAATGAAGAATTGAAATGCACTTGAGTCAAAACTCTACCAGGAGGTGTGAATGCTCTTCGATGAAATTGTTTACTACATAGTGCCAGTCTTTACTTGAAATCGGAGAAGCTGTGGAAGTGAGAAATGTGTTATGTGCCAAAGACATCAGCTGCACTTTACAAATGCAAGATATTAATGTAGCCAATTATGAAATCACGAGGAAAAAAATTTAAAGTTTTATATTATATAAAACAGTTCAAAATATATTATGCAGTAATATTAAATGATTTAAGATAATTTTTTATTAATATATTTTTTATGCTTTCAAAAATTTTTTTAATAAAAATTAATTTAAATATTTAAGCAAATGGTCCCAAAATTATAAAGTTACAAGTTTCGTTTGAGGTAAATATGTTTGCATTGAAAAATTATTTGACTTAATTTAACATCCATTAAAAAAATTAAAGCTTGATGAGAAAGGAGTTATTACGTTCCTAACAAATATATAAAATTGAAAAAGAAACTTATGTGAGTGACAGCTTATGCCTAATACTAGCAGGTTATATCAAGAATTTGTTGTATTTTTGGACTATCTGATTAATAACTCCAAAATTCCAACCAAGCACTAAACCTTCTTCTGAACTGGACGTCGCTAATCAGATAGTGGCATTTCTGACTTTTCACCTCTCAGATCCGGCTACCGTCTTATCCTCACCGTCGGTGACGAACGACCACATAATTCAAACGGGAGCCCGCCTCCCGATCTCTCTCTCTCTCTCTCTCTCTCTCTCGACCTGTACTCAACTGAGCTAACATGGAGAAGATCTCAGTAGCTGTGCGATTCCGGCCATCGATTGCCGAAGAGGCTGCCGGAGAGCGCCAATGGAGGATTGAGGACAACCGAATCTCACTTCACAGACCCCTCGGCACTCCAATCTCTGGCATATCTTTCGCCTTCGGTAATTCCTCCTCTTTGGCTTCCCTAAAACCCTGACTTCATTTCTCACTCCCTCTATCATTATCAGATCATGTATTTGAACAGAGCTCCACCAATGCATCTGTCTACGATATCCTAATCAAATCTATAATCCAAGCGGCCATCAATGGATTCAACGGTAAGCAGTTCTGCTCTTCTTATTTATATTAGTTTTCCAGAAACCCTAGAATCCGATAGCCTTTTCTCTTCTCTCTCAGGAACTGCCTTTGCCTATGGACAGACAAGCAGTGGCAAAACTTTCACTATGAATGGCTCTCAACTTGACCCAGGAATCATTCCGCAGGCCGTGAGAGATATTTTCGATACGACTCATATGGTTTGTAATTAGACTCACTAGCTTATGAATCGATTTGTTTTTTCTCACTTTCTTCGGCGCTCTGGTATTGTGCTTGCAGATTACAGATCGCGAGTTTCTAGTTAGAGTTTCTTATATGGAGATTTACAATGAGGAGATCAACGATCTGCTTTCATTGGGGAACCAGAGGCTTCCAGTACATGAAAGCTTAGAGGTGGGTTTCTCAAGCTTTAACTCTTTAAAAAGATATGCGTGGTGCTTTATTTTAAAGTGAACATCTTTGCTGAGTATGTAGCGTGGGGTTTATGTGGCTGGTCTTCGGGAGGAAATAGTGAACAGTGCTGATCAAGTACTTGAACTCATCAAACTTGGTGAAGGTATAATTAATTAAATTGTGTTCCTTTGGCCTATTATTATTGTTTTAACTTTTAAGTGCGGTCATTGAGGGGAAACTAGATATCTCTATGTAGCTAATCGACATGTTGGTGAGACAAATATGAACGTTAGAAGCAGTAGATCGCATACAATATTTAGGATGGTATGACTATATGCTTTCTTTTTTTCTTTATTTATCCTCAAGCTACTTTATCCGTTTGTTGAATCTTCTGTAACCTGTAAATTTAGGTTATTGAAAGCAGTGCCAAAGATTCCACATCATCTGTTGATGCTATACGCGTTTCTGTTTTGGTTCGTAAATTGATTTCTCTTCAACCTAAGAACTTTAAAATTTTCTTGTATTTTTTACAGCTTTCCATTTTTTTCTCTAAATATATTCTTGTTGGCTTAGAATTTGGTAGATTTGGCTGGATCAGAAAGAATCGCTAAAACAGGAGCTGGTGGAGTTCGTTTGAAAGAGGGAAAGCACATTAACAAGAGCTTAATGATCCTTGGGAATGTGATCAACAAACTAAGTGAGAATGGAAAGCATAGGTATTCTTTGTATGATGCAATTAATGTTTTCCTTTTCCTCTGTCTCAATATTATACAGGGCAATTGTGATTTTTTGGTTTGTTATATTTTATTCAACATATGTTGCTACGCCATTGAGCTAATTGTTGGACTTTTTGCATACAATATTGTTTTAAGTTTGTCTCTTGGTTTCAAGTTTGTTTGCATGCTATCTAGGAAATTTCCTAATTGTTAATTTGATTAGCTACCCATTAATTTATCCATCTCCTAATTTGTATAAAGTTGAAAATTCTATTTTATATCTAAATTAGAACATTTTGATGGTGCAGGGCACATATTCCCTATCGTGATAGTAAACTAACTCGAATACTTCAACCTGCTCTTGGTGGCAATGCCAAAACTTCAATAATTTGTACGGTGGCACCTGAGGAGGTGAATGTTGAATGCGCTTCTTCATATCTTTCACAAATCACATCATGCAAATTACTATACACACATATTAACATATTAACATATTAACATTAGCTTTAATTATGATAGGTGCATATTGAGGAAACCAAGGGAACTCTCCAATTTGCTAGTAGAGCCAAGCGCATTACAAATTGCGCTCAAGTAAACGAGGTAAGTGGATATGGATTTCATAATTAATGCGTGTAACATTCTTAGCACATAAAGTGGAGTTTTCTTTTGGTTGTTGAATTTCTACACTAAGTTGAATTTGTATCACTGAAAGAATAAATATAGTATTCGATTCATATATTTTAATGTGCCAATAAAAATTATGTGAGTGATTGTCTGCTTTGACCCACCTTATCTTTATCGTATTAAATCTCATTGTTTATTGTTCTTTGTGTAGTTTCTTAAGAGGCTACCCATCTAGATCGTGCTTTCACATTAATACACAATGATGTTCCTGAAGATATTTCATATAGTATACCAAAAAGGCATCTCCCATATTTAATTTAAACTTTTATTTATATAGCTCTATAAATTTTTTAGTCTTTTTTATGTGTGATTTGGTTCACTCTTATCTCCTTTTCTCTTAGAATATTGCTAGGAGTCACCCATATTTGGATTGCCTCTTTAGATTTATGATGTCACATGCTCACTGGGTGCTGATTGATTTGCCTTCAAATTGCACATTATACTAGAGGAGATCTAGCTCTAATACTATTTGTAAATATTCATATCACATTATGTGAGGTATTGTGCACCTTGGCTCAATCCATCTCATATCAGGCTAAACCTTTTTTTTAATCCTTCTTGGTGCAGCAATCCAAGTGGTCACCCATTCTGAGAGTATTCTTAGACTAGCTTGCTTGATTGTGGAAAGAAACTTCACTTGGTCTAATTATATATATAATCCAATATAATTTCTTTCTTTTCTAATTTGATATTTTTATTTTGGCCCTCTATTTTCTAAGAACCCTATTCTAGCTCGCGCCTTATTCAAGCCTTTGTCCCAACTCACTCCCCTCCCTATTTGAACAACCCTCTTTGGATTGGAGAATAATAACTTAGCTCATATTTTTGGAGTATTGTTTGTTTTAACCTAAACCGTTTCATATCGAGCTAAATGCTTTTATCCCACACGAGCAAGTTTAATTGTGAAAGTTTTAGAGAAATTTTATACAAAAAGTCACATCACATATTTGATGTAATCCCCTATTCATTTGCAAGAAACGAACCCCCCAACCGTCCCTCACTCTGTTCGTAAAACCCCAACACCATCTCCCTCTCATTCAACAAAAAACTTCAGCCCTCTGTCCCTTTATTCGCGAGCCTGTCCGTTCCTTCCTCCTAGCCTCTCTATTTTGCACGACATCAAGGGTCTAAACCCTTGTCTTCCTCTCTCTCTCTCTCTCTCTCTCACGTGGCTGTCCCGGACAAGAACCTCCATTGATTTCTAGCCCTAGCCGGCCTCCTCTTGCATATTTGTAAATCTTCCTTCTTCTTATTTTTTATTTTCTTAAGTGTGAGAGGTAAGGATGAGAAGACAAATGAAAGATTAAATAAAATAAAAGATAGGGTGAGTTCTATGTATCTTCCCCGGCTTGATTCTTCTCCATTCTCTCCATCTTCACCTCCATTTCTCCCTTTGTCGTATTAATCGTCAAAGAGAGATTTATTGTTTTCATTATTTTTCAAAAAAAGATTAAAGTAATACATATAGTTTTATTTTCTTTTTTTGAACATGATTTGCTATATGAATGAGATGAATATATTTACTCCAATTTGTATTTTTTTTTTCAATGTGCAAATCTAAGATTATAATTTGAATGGTTTCGTTAAACATAAATAAGATTTTATATTGTAATTTATATTATTTGGAATTAAAATTGTATATATAAAATCTACGTTGTTTGTGATTTATGCCATATAAGTAGTAATACAAAGATTCATATCCAAATTTTGGGAAAATTATGTTATCTTTTTCCAAATGCATAAAAGATGTTTGAGTTAATATTTATTAAAGAATGACATGAGTTTGATCAAATAAAGAGTTATTGAATAAGCACATTTTTGCTTCATTTCATTCATGCTTTCAAGAAATTTATGAGTTAGAGAAAGATAAATAAATTATATATATGCATATATGTTATGTCCTCACATTTTTATAAAAAAAATGAGTTAGAAAAATGAACTTTGTATTATTTTGATTAAATGAAATGTGTGTGTATTGAAAGGTGAAGTGTATGAACTTTATGTAGTGTGTGCATATTAAAAAAATGTTTTGTGTATAAAGTTGTTAAATATATGTATTTTAAGAGATAAAATGTATGATTTTATGAGAAGTAAAGTGTGTGATTTTTGAAAAATGATGTATATATATTTTGAAAAGTGAAGTGTATAATTTTTAAAAAGTAATGAGTGTGTGCTTTGAAAAGTGAAGTGTATATATTTAAAAAATAAAATTAGAAGTATATTTTAAAAGGTGAAGTATGTGATTATAGTGAAGTGTTTGAATTTTGAAAAAGTGAGGTGTGTATGAAAAATATGAATTGTGTGTGTGTGTGTTGAAAGGTAAAGTGAAGTGTATGAATTTTAAAAACTAAAGTGTGGATTTTGAAAAACAAAGTGTGTAGAAATGTGCCATTGGGAGAATGAAGCATATATATATTGAGAATTAAGGTGTGTGAGTATGTTGAAGAGTGAAGTTGTAAACGTTGAAAAATAAGTTATTTGATTGATTATTAGAAAGTGAAATTAAAAAAAAAGGTTTAGCTCTCTTTCTCTTTCTCCCTTTCTTCTTCTTCTTCCCCTTCCCCTTTATTGCATTTTCAGGATAAATTTTAAAAATATATAAAGTACATTCGAAATTGAAAGTTTCAAAAGCAAAGTCAACCGAGCTAGTATGCAAGCCCGAAAAGATGTATGTTTTGATTTAATAATATTTTTCAATTATTTATATTCTAATTATTAAATATGCTTTAACTACTATTCTGTTTTTTTTTTGTTTGCATAACTAAAATGGTCTTTTTTTTTTCTTTAAAAATTGGTGCAAATGAGGAGAATGATCTCCTTGTATTCTCTTGTCCATTTGATCACCACTATTCCTTTTAGTTTTTTTAAACAAAGAAAATAGAATAGTGGTTAAAACATGTTTAATAATTAAAATATAAATAATTGAAAAAACTATTAAATTAAAACATACCTTTTTTCGATCATGCACACCAGCTTGGTTGACTTTGCTTTTGAAGTTTTTCGATTTCAAAGATATTTTATATAATTTTCTATAATTTATCTCGAAGCATAAAAAGGGGAAAGAAAAAGAAAGAGAGAAAGAAAACTAAGTCTTTCTTTAAATCTTTCACTTTCTAATAATACCAAAACAACTAATTTTCCAACGTTTATACACTTCCCTCTTTAACACACTCACACATTTTAATTCTAAATGTGTATACGCTTCATTCTCCCAATATATGTACATTTCTACACATTATTTTTCAAAATACAAACTTTACTTTTCAAAATCGATACACTTCATTTAATTCACATTTTTCATACACACATCTCACTTTTTTAAAATCCAAACACTTCTCTACAATCACACACTTCACATTTCAAAATATATTTCCCATTTCATTTTCCAAAAAATATATACTTTACTTTTCAAAACACACTCATTACTTTTCAAAAATCACACACTTCATTTTTCAAAATATACATACATATCTTTTCAAAAATCACACTTCACTTCTCACAAAATTATAAATTTCATATCTTAAAATACACACATTTCTTAATTTTACAAGAAAACTCTTTTTTTTTAACATATACAAACTTTACAAAGTTCATACATTTCACTATTCAATAAACATACACAAATTTTTAACCAAAACAATGCAAAGTTCTTTTTTCCAACCCATTTCCTTTTTTCAAAATGTGAGGAGATAACATATATGCAGAAGTAATTTTTTTTTTCTTTCTCTAACTCATGAGTTTCTTGGAAGTATTGATGAAATGAAGCATATATGTGCTTATCCAATAGCTTTTTATTTAATCAAACTCATATCATTCTTTAATAGACATTAACACAAATATCTTTCATGCATTAGGTAAAGGATGACATAGCTTTCTCAAAATATGGATATAAAGATTTGGATTACTACTTATATGAAATAAATCACAAACAATACATATTATATGTAGTTTTAATTCCAAACAATATATATTACAACATAAAACTTAATTTATGCTTCATGAAATCTTTCAAATAAACAATTTATATTTGCACATTGAAAAAAAAAACACAAATTGGAGTAAATATATCTATATCATTTACATACCAATTCATTTTCAAAATAACACAAAACTATCTTTTTTACTTTAATCTTTATTCGAAGAAGAGTGAAAAAAAATAATCTATCTTTGATGATTAATGCGACGAAGGGAGAAATGGAGATAGAAAGAAGATACATAGAACTCACTATACCCCTTATTTTGTTTAATCTTTCATTTACTATCTCATCTTTACCTCTCAAACTTAGGAAAATCAGAGAAAATAAGGGAAAAAGAAGAAGATTTATAAATATACAGAGGAGGCCGGCTAGGGCTAGAGATCACCATAGGTTCTCATCCGGGTCAGCCGCGTGAGAGAGAGAGAGAAGTGGAAGACAAGGGTTTTGGCCCATATTGTCATGCGAAATAGAGAGGGAGGGAGGGGCGCGCTCACGAACAAAGGGATAGATGACTTCAATTTTTTGCGAATGAGAGGTAGACGGGGTTGGGGTTTTCCGAATAGAGAGAGGGACGGCTGGAGGGTTTGTTTCTTCTGAATGAATAGGGGATTTCATCTTTGGGGTCGCACAAACCGGCCCTAACTCTTAAAACTATTTTTTGTTTTAATTTAAATTTTGAATAAAATTTTATGTGAGAAAAAATCAATTGCAGTATTAATTTTGACAAATTTTAATTAAGTTTAATTGATTAATTTAAATAGCAAAATATTTAACAGATTTTGATACAATTGTAGGGTTTAATTGAGAGAATCTAGTTTAGAATTGACTTTAAGATTAATGCAAATCAATCGATTTATTCCTATTTACATCATTCTAATTTCAATTTATTGTGAGACGAATGATGTAGTGTCTATCGAACGCGTCGAGTCAAAATTAAACTCGAATCGAACCAAATAAACTCAACAACGTATAGACACTATTATGCTTGAAATCAAATTGGTGTTGGGTTGAACCGGATTTAATTTAGCTCAGAATATGGGTCGAGTCAATTGTACATCAATAGGTGTCCACCTAAGGGGAATCCTATGGGAGCGATGTTTATATTAGACTATGAAGAGCTAGGTACTAGGATTAATTTGGGGAAATTTGCCTCAAATAATGAGGTCAACAACACCCACTCTTATTCGAGATGTCTTAAGCCCACAAGTTCTTACTAAATTTGTTCTCAAACCACACATTGTTCTGAAGGAGTTTTGACATAGATATCAATTTTGATCACCCAATCACATATTGTGAGTTCTTACTTGCTTTGGACAAGCTTACCATCATACTGGAACAAATGATGAGGACATTAGTAGGAGATTTTGGAATGTTTACCGCCGGAAGCATCGTAGATCGACGACTACGATGAGGAGTTTGTATATTTGATATATTTTATGTATTAGTTTCAGATTTATATATTAGTTTCAGATTTATGTTTGTACCCTTGTTGGTGTGTTGATTTGAGTTGTAGCACTATGGGCATTTTAGTCCTTTCTTTTCTTTTTCTTTGAGGCCTATATATTAGGTCATTGGTCTTGTATTTGGATGATGACGAATGAAATAAAATTTTTGATTTCTCTCTAGAGCTTGTGAGTTATTGAGTGGGGAAGTCCCAAGGTGTGGGCAAAGAAATATCCACCAGTCGCCGGAAGTGTCCAGGGCTCGTGGTCCGAATCTTCCCCTTTACTCCAACTGCCGAATCCCTCTCTCTTACCCTAGCCGACATCCTCCTCCCCTAGCCCCCACGCTGGCCAACCCAACCCCTTACTCGACGGCCACCCAAATTTCCCCTTCCTCATATCCGCCCAAATAACCTCCTCCCCATCATCCACCCTCCCTACCTCCAAGCTAGCCATCGGCCCCTCCCAACCCATATCTCCCTCTTAATGATGATTTCCATCATCATAATAACCTTCTTAATTTAGCCTAGATAATTTGGGAATAATCCTTTTAAGTTGAAATTCAAATTTGAATTTCTAATACTTTCCTAAATTATCAAATCTAAATTAGGAAAGTCCCTAAATCTAAGCCCAAATTAATTCTAATTGGGATTGGATTTCTTTATTTCCTTCCAAAAGTGAGATAATGAAATTAGAAGCTTTAAATTTTCCCTCCCAATCCCCTATTTCCCCAAGCATGCTGTCGGCCCCTCTCTAATTTCCCTCTCTCTCTCTCCCACGTTAAGTCCCACTAAACTTTGAATTTGAAATTCAAATTCAAAATCCTATTTTCCTTCTCTCCATCAATCCCAAATCTGAAATCAATTTCAGATTTATTCCTATTTCCTCCTACTCAAACCTACTCCTAACTCAACCAAGTAATCCCCTCCCCTCTCTTGGCCGACCCCTCCCTTTTCCCCCATCTCTTGGAATTGCTCTTCTCATGAGTTGTATCTCTAAGTGGAGAAAGAATACAACCTCCTCCAAGTCTTTTGCTAGTGCATGGCCGATCCCGATGTTGACCATGGCTTCGTATATGATGATCAAGGGCAAACGGATCTCCTTCACTCTCCTTCACTCTCCTTTCTTTTATGTGAACTTGGGAGTTGTCGAGACCGTTGGCATATACATTGATCGCATCCTCTTCACATTGGTACATTCCGTCGAAGAGCATCTTCCGGACGAACATTGGCGAATCACTGGTCGTCTTCACACAACTCCTCCGGCTAGCTTTCCTTGGATCTTTATCCTAGCCTTCCTCTCCCTTGTGGTGGCATTCTCCGAATTGTTGCGATTCTTCATCCGCTAAAACCCATAAAGAGCGCGAGTAAGGGAAACTCGATGTGACTTTTCTCTTTGTTACGTTGTAGATTGTTAGTTTATTGCACTTGCGTTTCCATTTTATGATTGATATTATTTGAGATCTTGTTCTTCTAATATGTAATTGCTTGCCATATCAATTTAGACAACTTTCAATTCGTAAAATCTTTTCTAAGTGAAACATTGGTTGACGTTACAACGCCTAATTCAATTTTTATAAATTTCTACATGCAATTTCTAATTAGTTTCACATCAACAAATCTCAAAATTTTATTCTCCCTTTCATTTATCAGAGCTCATATATCTTGGGATTGCTCCCTCATGGAGTTCAAAAAGAAACTTTATTGGCAACACCAAAAGACGCTTCGTATATTTAGTCTAACCCTTACTTACACAGTGTAGTAACATGTTAATCTATAAAGCTCATAGGAGTCACTCGTTTTTTGAGCCATTTGCCCTAATAATCACTCCCGATGCTCTTTAGGTTGCCCTCTTCGGATTCAAAATATCATATCTAGAGAATGCACATTTGTCTAAGTATATTTAGTTTGCAAGGTAGGTTATTTGGTACCTAACAAGGATTTTTGAGGCATACCGTGTCTTTAAATTGTACCTTATTTTTCTTTTTTCTTGTTCATTTGCTATGTCGAATGTTTCCTTATTTTTGCACACAGTTTTGAATATTTTATACATCTTCTTCATCCCAAATTATTATTATTATTTTATTTTGTTACTTGTTACCTATGCTTTTTGTTAAAATTTTGTCTTTATGTAATGAATATTGATAAATCTTAAATTTTAAGCTAAAATTTACTGTTTTTGAGTTTTCCGTTAACAAAAAATAACTTAATAGGTTTTGACGGATGCTGCACTACTGAAGCGGCAAAAACAAGAAATTGAGGAACTTCGTAGAAAATTGCAGGTAATGGTCATTAAGTTGTTTCGTGTTTGCTTAGATCTGAAGTCATTTATAGTTTGTAGAAGTTGTTTCCTTTTTAGGGACAACATTCTGAAGTATTGGAGCAAGTGATTTTAAAACAGAGGAATGACATGCACAAGGTGTAGCATCGATCATCTATTCTTACACCATATCAAATTATAGATAGATTACATCGTTGTATGTTATCTTGATAACTAATAAATGTATATCTTCTTAATTTTTCTTATCAGTCTGAACTTGAACGTGAAAAGCTTGCAATGGAGCTTGAGGAAGAAAGGAAATCCCGTCAAGCACTCGAGCACCACATGGGAGAGCAGCAAAGAAGGATAGATTATCTCAATGAACTTCTTGCTTCCAATGATGCTAGAAAGTTAATACAAGTAAGATTATAACTAATTGTAATGCTAATATTTTGTTAATGGATAGTCAGGTATAGTAAGGCTCATACATCTACCCAGGCTTGACTTTGGCTAGGCTCGATCACCTCATTTATATTTATAATCTTTTTAATTCAAATGAATTCAATCTATGTAAAATATTAATATTAAGGGGTTGTTTGATTAGAAGTAAAATTGGTGTAAAGTATTCCAAATGCAGGGGTTTTGAAAATATTGATGTTTGGTTGGATGAAAAAGGAGTGCAAAGTAGAGTAAATGTAGTATAAAATATTTTTGAGATCGTTTTAGAGATAAACTAAACTTGCCTAGTTTTGAGCTAGAATCATTTACACTGCAAGCAAGCTAGCTTGATCGCCTCCACCCACCCGCCGGTTACCACAGTCTGTCGACGCCACCCACCACTAGCTGGATAAAAATAAAGAAGAGAAGAATATACACAACATATTCTTTTTTTGTCTTAGAAATGAAATTCGGTTGGAGATGAATTGCTGTTTGAAATGAATGTTACTATATTTTGAAGTGAAAAATAGGTTTTTAAGTTGGAGATGCCCTTAGATAAGAAAATTAAGTGATAAGTTTTGGTGACTGAAGGTGCTTGACCTACTTCAACCAGACTGTTAAATCATCAATTATTCCAATTATTGGATAATTATTTGTAAATTAGATTAGCTTTAAAAAATTAATTTTTTAATGTCAATACCAGTTCTATTATGTATAATCTACCATTTAACTTTTAAAGTCATATCATCTTTGGAACTTCATCCGCAGATATTTTTTTTTTGTGTTCTGCAATCTGCAGTTTGATTGAGCCAATCTTCTAGATAAATATGATTGTGGAATACTCTCAAGTTTGCTTATTTGTTGTGTTTTCGCTAAGATTTTTGTAGATTGAATTTTACAATTTGTTGTACTGCATTCTTCGCAGGGAACTGTTCATACCCATTCTAGTTATGAGGAAATGAGTAGTAGAAATTGCATGTCTCAAGGCAATACCTTCACAACTCCTATTTTCAAAGCCATGCCAGATCAATTTGTTGTAAAGCGATCAAATCATTCTAAGGCATTCGATTCAAGTCCACTGCCAGAAAATTTTACAAACACAGCGAATGAAGACTTATGGCTGCAGTTAAACAAAGGCTTCAGAACTGACCTCGATGCGCTACAAATGACCCCTAACGTAAGATATAGAGCTGCTCAATCCAACGACACATCAATTGTAAGTTGGTGTCAGTAACTACTTATTTTATGTTATTCTCTTTTTGTGTTATTAGTTATATTCTTTTCTCAAGTATTATTTTTGTGTGACTATTACTGTGTTGGCTATTGATTCAACAATTAAAACCATATTATGATATTTTATTTCTTCCATAATTTCATTTGCTTCTCAAAATCATTATACTAGTTCTTTTGTTCTTGCAAAAATATAAATAAATCAATTGTACGTTTTATATGAAATAGTATTTGACCAAACTGAGAATGCAAAGCAACAAATTAATCTTTATTTTTGAATGGGATATTGGTCTCTTTTATGGTCCTAGTTATTATTTAATGAGCAAATCTCTGTAGTCACCCGCATGGCTGGGCATAGGCTTTGGCCTTTTCGGCTTTATAATCTTCTATTTAGGAATTCTATTTCAAGTTCATATCAAATATTGCATAAAGCTTTGTAAATTATAGTACTAGTCTATATGTTTTGCAGTTTTCCACATCTACTATACTCGTTTATCAAAATGTTAAGTTGATTAGTTAATATGGATGCAGTTGTACATAGAGATTTAAACAATATAAAGTTTAATACCTTATGCGGTATTTGTTAAGAATGAATGGGTGCTGTTCCAAAATAGTTGGGATAAGGCTAATGACAGTGATGATGGGAACTTCTGATTTAATCTAAGATATTACTGAGGTTGCTTATATAGTACCACATGAAATACAGTGAGGCAGCGAAGCAAATCATCATGCAAAACTTAAGGTACTCACAGTTCCCAAGAGTTTATACTAACAACAAGCTGAAAAATTGGAGACGTAGAAAGTTTAGAAAAGCAACTGTTGACCTCTAGACAAAGAACTAAAACCCAGCTTAAATCCTGGTTGAAAATCCGAAAATAATCTCAATTGCATACATTGTACATTTGCTCTGTTGAATCCCGGATATCTCGCATACCTCGGACTGTCGAAGGATCCCCGAAATCCTGCCGAAATCCCGCTGTTCGGCGCCGTTTAGTCTCTGTCCCGTGAAATCCTGCTTAAAAGCCGCGAGTTCGCCTCGATTGAGCGCCCAGGTCGTCGTTAAATAGCGAGGGGCTGCTCGACTCTCTCCCACGACTCTTCTTCCTTCTCCAAACCGAAGCCTCCGCTCCTACTCTTCCACTTCCACGACGTCCAGCTCGCAGACGCCTCCTCCCGTCGAGCCTGATCCCGATCTCAGAGAAGCAGAGAGAGATAGAGAGATTCTCCCTTGTCCGCGCCACTTCGGTCAATTCCCGTGAAAGAGATAGAGAGAGGGAGAGTTGTATTAGTGTTAATGAAGATTAATTTTATTTAATCTTAATTATAATTATTTTAAACTAATTATAATTATTACAGATAATTATGGTTAATTTTAATTAAGTTGTTTTAGTTAATTTTAATTAATTATATTTAACTTTACTTAAAGTTAAATATAATTAATTATTCTAATTAATTATAACAATTTAATTATTACACTTAATTATAATTAATTGTAATTAAATATAATTAATAAAAGATAATTATAATTAATATAAATAAAACAAAAAATAACACCCTCCACTCTCTTTCCTCGATGTTCGTGTCGGACCGGCAAACCACCTAAGCACGCCTTTATTGGCCGTGGTAGG